TTTCTCGATTAATTTTAGCTAGACATTTTAATAAAATTTGAAATGGATATACAGGGTGTCTCACAACTCGCGACCGAAATTTTTATGACATATTCCTGACTTAAAAATAAGACGAAAATTCTAATACGAAAAATGCCGAGCTTAACTAGGGCGAGCTTAACTATAATAGTTTTTAAATTAATAGTGATTAAAGTCGACTAATCATAGAGCTAACATTTCGCGCGCTCAGACATGATGATATAACAAGTGATAAAGGCGCTACCACGAGGGCCCTCTTAACGTCAATCGAAATTATTATACAAATATATTGATATGATATACTATTATATTTTTATTAAGAAATTATTTTTATTTTTTTACGAAACCTATTTGTATATTACATATGTGTAATTAATACCGGAACGTATTACAAAATATCAATATCAATTCAATAGCGAGATATTACGACATGTGTTAAGTATCGATATAAATAACGTTAAAATACAATGATAATGAAATATTTCATTAATTATATCTAAGCATAAAAAATAAGTACACTACCTCATATAACGAATGTCAAAATTTGACATATCATAGACAACCTCTCTCGTATGATATGTCAAATTTTGACATTTTATTATATGATTATGATTAAATACAACGCATAGCAATGTACTTATTTTCTATGCTTAGGTATGATGCAATTAATGAAATATTTCATTATCATTGTATTTTAACGTTATTTATATCGATATTTAACATATAATATCTCATAATATCTCGCTATTGAATTGATATTGATATTTTGTGTTCCGGTATTAATTACACGTATGTAATATACAAATAGGTTTAGTAAAAAAGCAAAAATAATTTCTCAATAAAAATAGTATATCATATCAATATATTTGTATAATAATCTTGATTGACATTAAGAGGGCTTTTATAGTAGCACCAGTTTATCACTTGTTATATCATCATATCTGAGCGCATGAAATGTTAACTCTATGATTAGTCGACTTTAATCGCTATTAATTTAAAAATTATTATAGCCTAGGCATTTTCGTATTAGAATTTTCGTCTTATTTTTAAGTCAGGAATATGTAAAAATTTCGGTCGCGAGTTATAGGATACCTTGTATATTAAAATTCTATTTTAAGAAAAAGATATATTTAATTAAATTTTCACAAAGGAGAATTTATGTCTCTTTAGTAACGTACGATTCGAAAAAATTATAAAAAAATTTTTGAGATAGATGTCAGAATGAAGTTCCAAAACTAATATATATTCTCCAATTTTCTGCCGCATAATAATAAGAGATTATCATCAGATATTAATATTTATTCCTCTAAAATATATATGGAAAATAAAGAAAAGATATCTCGACAAACGAAGAAGAATAATCGCACGAAATTTTCAATTGTGTTAAAATTTAAAACAAAAGAGAATTGGTCAATTTTTGTTTAGTTTTTTTGGATTTCCCGTTTCTTGATGGGCGGTCGGATGGAAATAATTACAGGTTTTACGAATGAAGAAACAGCGCACACGGTTCATTGACAAGAAAACTGTTTCGTGAACTCTGCAGGAATCCAAACTTATTGAAATCAATCGCGTTCATTACGCTCGTTCCCTCTCGGGCGAAAAGGATTACGCGCTCCGCAGATGACTGTCGATTCTGTCAATTCTCTCTGATACGCGAGTGTTTACACATGTCGATTTCGCTAAATCGATTTTACCAAAGGAGATTTTATTCAATAAGCTTACGATATATATAAAGAATATGGGCTTGTAAATTTATTAAAGTAGAAATATATAACTTAGTTACTGAATTAGGATTTATTAAAATCCAAGATCTAAGAGATTAAATCATAATATTCTTAGAAAATTAAATTAAGTTTAATACTTCCAGATATGTTCTCATCTAAATGTCAATAAACATCAATCAAAATCATTTTAAAAAACTTTTTTTATTACAAATACAGAGCAATTGTAAAAATAATATTACATTAATTATCTGTCTGGAACTTTTTCTATCTCACCTACAACAGTAACAGTAAATAAAAATTTTCAAAAGAATTCTTTGGACATACAGACTGATCTCTCATCAATTAGATTATTAATTAATTCATTAACCGTAGACACAATATCCTAAATATCATACACAAAGCAATATCTTACGTTACGTTTATGAGAGATGCTTTGCATTCTCACGCTGTACATATGGAAAAATCAATGTATAAATCGTTAGCTTCTTCCGACATCTTTTGCTGCTTGCTCGGTATGAGAGCGAATTGCGCAACAGGTTACATGGTTCATCGACGGCAAAACAATTTCTAGATACTCGAGATCATTGACTCTCTTGGTCTTGACGAAATTTTCGACCTCATGCGATTTACAAGAACGAATCAGACTACTCGACTGCTGATTGATCAATCAGATTGGTAGAAATTGTTTATCTTTATTTAATATTTCAAATTTAGCTGAATATGTTTGAAAAATGTTATTTCTTTGTCGAATCATTCCACTTTACGTCGTTACACTTGCGTCGTTTGAAATATTACATTTGTATCACGCGATTGTTTGCGAGATATTTTGCACTCGTCATCATAGTCATTAAAAACAATATAAATTTTATCTATTAGACACATCTCTAAATAAAGCGAAACACATCCTAATAAATGGAAGATATTCAAAGATATTAATGATACTAAGTCTTTTACGGTTATAAATATTTGCTCTTCACTTTGACACGATAAATTATGTTTTGCACGTGTCTTATATTTGATACCTCACGATTAAAGTTCCTGGCAAAGTGTCGATTAATTGAGTATAATATCGAGACTCGGACATTCGCGATTTATAGTATAAACCATTATAGTAACCATAAACGGGACTCGTTAAGCTCGTTAGGAAACAAGGCTCGATCTACAGTTACCTCCGGACGATTGATAAATTTATTATCGCACATATATTCGCATTCTATGTAGGTTACTAATATGACTTGCTGGGAAAATTAAAAATGATTAGTTAAATACGGATAGTGTTTTCCATCAACGCAAGATTTCGATCGATTATTAAAGAACTACGAAAGGCAAAATGATATACACATTGCTAAAGTGTACGTAGTTTAAAATATCAGAAACAGCGAGACAGAGAGGGAAAGAGGGAGGGGGGAGAAAGAAAGAGAGAGGGAGGGAGGGAGGGAGAGAGAGAGGAGAGAGAGAGAGAGAGAGAGAGAAGAAGAGAGAGAGAGAGAGAGAGAGAGAGAGAGAGAGAGAGAGAGAGAGAGAGAGAGAGTAGAGAG